CGTAATTTTAATCGATCCGTATTAGGTGAAAGATCGTCTCGTATAATAAATAAGTTGCAACAAACAAAAAGGCGGAATAATCGATCAAGAAAGTTTCCCTTCTCCCTCTTTTTCTCTTTCCTCCTCTTACATTTTTTGCCCTCTCTATTTGCGCGGTTTCAAAGAAATAGGATATATGTATGTATACATTGGAACGAGGAACGGAGAATACGGAGAGCGCGGAGAGAAAGGCAAGAGGGTTGCCAGCGGAAAAGATCGGTTCCGATGAGTAGGGTAAGAGGGGACGAAGGTGAAGGAGGAGACAGCGACGACGTCGACGATGGTAACGGTGGCGATGGCGGTAGCGGTAGAGGTGGCGGTGGCGGTGGCGGCGGTGGCGACGACGACGACGACGACGAACGAGCAAGCGGAGGAGATTGTAGAGGAGAAGGAAAAAGAGAAGGAGAAGGAGGAGGAGGAGGAGGAGGTGGTGGTAGAGGTGGAAGTGGAGGTAGAGCTGGAGGTGGTGGCGGTGACGAAGAAGGTTATCGAGGAAGGGGAGCACGGGAAGGAGGCGGTGAGGAAAAGGAAAAGGTGGGTAGAGGCAGATCGAAACGTAGGAAAGAAAGAAAAGAGAGGTTAGGGTGGTAGACAGGATGCTACGTGGGAAGTCAGAGAGGGTGAAGAGAGAAACTGGACAAAGCCGAGCGAAGCAACAGAAATTTCTTGTCTTGTCATCTCCTTCTATCTTTTTTCGTCCGTTCTCTTCCCTCTTTCCGTACTTTTCTCTTTCGTGGTGCGACAAAGATGCTCGCTACGGATCGAGGGAGTACGATGCTTGCTACGGGAATACAGAATGATGGAGAAGAGAAGGAAGAAGGAGAAGGGGAGAGGAGGAGGAGGAGGAGGAAGAAGAAGAAGGGGAAGAGAAATAGGAGGAGAGGGCTCGGATGAAAAGAGAATGGCCATGTTCTTTGGTTATTCCGTGTGAATCTGTCTATGGGTTTCGTAGGAGATAGAGAAACTGAAAAAGAATGGCACAGCACGAAAGGAAAAGAGAGCACTCTGAGAGAACGGCAAGCCTAAAACGAGGACAAAGAGAAAATGACAAAGGCGAGAGGGGCGTTCGATTCGATTGGAAAGGCAGGCAGAGGGGCCTCTTTCCTTTTACCAGCGTTTTCTCCGTATTATGCTCCGTACTTTCCGTTGTTCCTATGCACGTATGTTCAGCATTGCACACAAATGCATACGAGTACACACGTTCGTGTGCTATACATGTGTAATATACTCTGTCCGGAGAAACATACATTCACCCGAGTTCTCCTTTTTTTTTTTCCTGCGTTCTTTGCGTCCATCGCGTTTCATTCCTTCTTTCTTTATCTGTTATATTTATAGCTATCTCTTTCTCTTTCCCTATGTTCTTAACACTTTCGACGTGTACATGGCTTTATCCGTTCGTCTCTCCGCTTCCTCTCTCTTTTACCATCTCAATTACTATACGAGGTTTCACGTTATGTGGCTCTATGCTTTTGCGGTGAGAGGGCAGCTTTATACGTGGGTGAACGGGAAAATGTCTTTTGAAACCTTTCTAGGTCGCTCTCGATCGCCCCACTGTCAGTCATATACACGCGATTCCGCTTGGGGCTCTTGAGAAAATAGTCGATCTCATCGTAGTTTTCTTTTAAAGATAGTACAAGTTGAAATTATAGCTCTTACACTCCCTTTTTCTTTTACCCTTTTTTTTTGAAACGTTATTGTTAATAAATAGAGGAATCAGAATTGTAAATAAACCTGATTGCATATAATATATATTCTTTTTCTTTTTAAGTTAAGCAAAATTTAACTTGCAAGTTTTTAAATGCGTTTACTAACGTTATCTCTTACGCAGTCGCAGTCGCCCTCCGGAACTCGAGCCTTGGATCGTTCTAAGAAAAAAATGGAAAGAAAGAGAAAGAGAAAAGAAGAGGAAAAGAGAACCTGACAGCAGAATGGAAGGGATTGAGAAACGACAAAGAGAGGAAGAAATAGACGAGAAGAAGAGAGAGCGGAGAAAAGAAAATATACGTGGTTCTCCCGGCGGATACGAACGCGGCAAGGCCGAGAGAAGGAACAGTAAAATTGTAGAGAATGTGTACGCGCCATCAGGGTGGCCTAGATTCAGTCAAGACCTGCTTTCTAGGCAGCATTTCTCTTTATCATCGGCACCGCTGGTACAATGTATGGGTAAACCGTTGGTTGCCGCACGATCGTGGAGAAAATCTCAGGTGTACATAGTGCGTACTTATTAATGATTCTTCCAATTCTATCAATGATTTAATAAATAATTTCTATGCATAATTATAGATTTCAAATATGATAGATGCATCCTAAACTCCTAGATGTATTCTATTCTCCGAGACGTTATTTTTTTTTTTCTTTAGATCCTGTGTCTTTATCGTAATCTTTATTTTCAATACCTTACTTTTAATATTTTAATGAATATTTGTTATATTGTTCCAATTTGTGTAGTCAAAAATTTTTTATATTCTTCAATTTCTTCACTTTAAATATCGTAATTCAAATTTAATGCATAAATCATTGATATCATTACAACATACATAAATACTTATACTATATCTCTATTATTATCTTTATGTATATATACGCAAAAATGAAAGAGTTAAACGCGAGTAATAAATATTACATCAATGATTACAAAAAATATGTATTTGATGTCTTTGCGAAAGAAAAAAATTAAAAAAAAAAGAAAGAAAAACGAATTTTGTAAAATCTTTGTTGTATGATTTGCGTATTACGAATAATTTTGCGCCAAGACAAGATGCTAGTCATGTTTTTCTTCGTATACAGCTATACTATACGCGCAAACATTAAATAAGTGTTTCCTGCGCATACGTAATCGCTGATTATTGGACAGTTATCGTGCACGTGACCTACCGTAATCGACGACAGCGATTCGAACGTGCACGCGGCAACTGTTCCAAATCCTCATGGTGAGAAGCCACGAGGCGCGCGTGGAGGGACGTTTAATTTGTCTTTCCGAATGCGACAGGTCGTTAAATGTCGTGGATCATTGTCACGCACATCTATGCGAGTACGCACACGCGACTGACCAGCTGTGCGGAACTATAGACGAAGCGGTCGAAAGTCAAAACAATACAAGACAAACACGCGTAAACGCGGTATAGAATATCGCTTGTGAAAAATTGACAGTATTTTAACATCGAAGCCCCAAAATAACTATTGCTCAAAGATTCATTGATACATTTTTCATCTATTATTATTATTATGTATATCTAGGATTTTGTTTAAGACGTGTCAATGTAACAATAAGTAGATTTAATGCATTCGTTGTTAAACAAAGAAATGATTAAGAATCATGATGTAATGATATCGATGATTCACGGGGTGAACAATCGTAGTGTATAAATTTATCATTGCACTTACCTTACCATGACCTGACCCTCGAACAAAATCACCACTGGAGTTAAACTTTGGCTGATGTTTGGCAACTCTGTGCCAAGGTTCGCAGAAGACACTCACTTTTACTATAGTTATGACACTTGGTATACACGACTACGCGCAATAAGATGTCTTATAAAGGATTTTTCACAAAACGCGTGTTCACGCGATGACACAAGGACAATTGTCAGTCGTCGCGTAAAGCACGTACTGCGTCGACGACTGGCAGTTGTCACTCTCGGTTTGCCCGTGAAAACGTCGCGGCACGAAGTGGCGTAGCGAATCACGGAGAGAGACGGAAAAAGAGAAAGACATAAATGCACACTAGGGGGCACCGTGATGGCGGCGGACGACCCGTGTTCCGTTGCGGACGGTGGCGCAAAGCGATTAAGCGATTTTGTTGTGGACCCCGATTCTTCCCTTCGTCGGCTCTCTCTTCCCGGCTTTCCACTTCTCCCGCGTCGCCTTTCGCCTCTCCCGCCGGCTGCGCTACGCCGTAAACGCGCCCCTGAACGGAAATCTGCCTTCTTCCCCACTACGTCCATGCGAATCCCTTCCACCGCTACGAATTGCCATAATGTTGAACCGGCAAAAATCAGGATTGTATCAACTTTACAACTTTGAAATTTCTTTATTCAATATTTTTGATAAATAATTGAAAATTCGTACATCTGATAAAAAATTTGAATTTTCCGCCAAACCGTAACGTGTATGTATAACATTGGAAACAATTGATACAGGGCAAATTTAAATCGCATGGAATAAAAGAGAAATCATTGTCATTCTATGAATTTGTTATGCATTACGCGTAAAAAATTTCGTCATTAATTATATATTTATAAATTTATTGTTTGATAAAAAGAAATTTACCAATAACTTTTCTTCCTTATATTCATTCTTTTGCCTTTTGCCTTGAAAGTAAAATCTCTAGGTTCTGAAAATCTTTTGACGGCCCTGTGTTAACCGGCCGTTCTCTTTACCCCACTATTCGTACCTTGATGCGCACAACGTCAAGTTCAATTTTCTGCGCCGCGTCTCCCCACAAGAACCACACTGTTTCCGAGCATCCCGGTTATCCCTTCGCAGAGCGGGTCGATCGTTAACGCGTAGCAGTTCGGCCATTGTGTAAAAAGAAGCCACGGCGCTCGGATAGTGTACGCTGAGGACAGGACGTGTAGTTTTCCCAAGTTTTCCTCTTGTGATATTTAGATTGTGCCAATATAGGTGAGTAATTTATATATATTTGTAGATTTGTGTATTAATTGTGTTTCGAATTTCATTGTCGTTGTGAAAAGTTCATGAAAAATCAGGTTGTCCCGTTAAATCAACGGATAAGATGCAGATACATCATAAATACTTAATCCTTCTACGAAAGTATGGCATTCGAAATGTTTTAAATGAAATGTTTATTTCAAAATTTGCATGAATTTATCAATTTTTAAAGTATATCTATTTTCAATTTTCAAACATTTTTGAACACTTCTCGCCATTTTGCTTTGACCATGTCTGTAAAGTCGGCCATTATGTACGCGTGCTAGGTTGCGGCCCAGGACCGGTAATGACGTACACGACATTTTATACATTTTTATTATCAATTATTGAATTTTAATTCTTCATATGTTCTCCTTTTTTCTTACGATGAATGAATTATTATAATTGAATGTATTTAAAAAATGTTCTAATTCAAATTTTAAAGTTAATGATCTTACATTTTATCGACCAGTTTCTTTTTTGAATATACAGCTATCAATATGTATTTTATCACTTTGCATTTGAATAGTAAAATTATTAATATATGTAAATTATAAAGTATGGATTCTTATAAACTATATGATTTGCATTATTGTTTACTTTAACTTCTTTGCTTTTTTGTTATATTGTTGGGTTAGATATTTTTTTTTTAGACGAATTTTGTTTTTCTAAAACAAAAATTTCTATCAGAACCAAATTCGAACTTATAATCTTTTTTTCTTTAATATAATGTTAATTTTATGTCAAACATTCAATATTCGCGTAAATTATTATATGAAAATGGAAAAAATACAAATGTTGTCGGTTAGCGTCCTCTAGCCATAATTTCCAATCACGATGAAGATCATCATAACTTTTGAGACCAGAGCGCATGCTCAATAGTTTCTTTCGTTTTTCCTTCTCTCGTTCCCTCTTCCGGGGAAGCTTGCGCTCTCTGACGGTCGGCATACAACGAGTTAGGCATTCGGCTGCGCCATTGTTGAAAAGGGCAGCGCTCGAGGCGCACGCCGAGCTCGGACGTTTACGCAGTTTTTTTTTCATTTTTCACCCATCCTGTGATATTAGATTGTTTTATAGTCCATATTAGGTGAGTGTTACAACAAATAGTTAATCATTTATTATATTTTTTGAAATTTGAAGAAAATTCCGGAAAATCCTAAGGTAGGGTGACATGGCGCGGGCGGATCCTCTGTACTTCTAAGAAAACTTATATATTTTTTTTAATTATTATTTGAAAAAACTTCCCAATAAAGCAAGTGTTTGCGATTTTAATATTCTCGTCCAGACGATGCTTTAACGGGAAAATCTAATATTAAAGATAAATTTCAAATCATCTTTTTCTTTGCGAACTTCACTTCTATCGCCATTTTGTCTGGGCGCGATCTCGCGGACGGCCATATTGTGATCCACGTTTCCTCTCCTTTCGTAGTTTCTAGGGGCGGTATGCGGAAAGTGCATCGTTCTTTTTCGCCGGTTGGTAAATATGTTTGAAAAAATTATCTATCGTCAATTTGTTTTTGTTTCACACATTGCTCGGCCCATCTGACGTAACATTCAATACGAGATAACAATATAAATAGATTACGCAATCGTCTGTAAGCAGTGGTGAATGCACTTCGCTTTATTTCATATTAATCTTCAAGCGCGTATGTACTTGCATTACATTGCCTCCTCCAATACTAGTTTTACGCGGTGCGCATGTGAAGCAAGGAATCGATTTTACATTTTATTGCGCGTCAGTGATGTAAAGCTCGATGACGTAAATTATGTTACTTTTACCTTTTAATCCGTGTCATAAACTTTAATGTAATTCTTCAATGATAGTATAAAACTTTATGTGCGGTTTTAGTGATAATTAAATATTGTACATAATAATATTGTATGGCAGTTAAAAATATGATAAAAATACAAATGTGTATTATTTAAAGAATACTTCGGTATCAAAATATCCTTATATAATATAGAAATGTTTTCACATTTATAAATTGTTACATTTTTTAATTTTTTTATTTACTCATAATTTTTTAGATCGATTATTTTATGACTTATAATTTTTTTCGATATAACTTACATAAACTACGGTTTTGTTTTTAAATTTGATATATCATTAGGGGGTACTAAATATCCTGCAGACGTCCCTGAATTCCAGGGGCACTCGAACTAGTGCGCAACTTAAATGCGCAGGTCGGGCGCAGCTGCGCATGCGTAGTGCTTGCGCGTCCTCCTGCATCATCCCCACCAAATCGTCCATTACCGTTATGAGGACACGCACAAAGGAAAAGGCCAGAACACCAATTCGACCGACGCGCTTGCATCGTACGGCCATTTTGGAAGCTTTGGTGCTTCCTCGCGGAGCTTTTATCGCGATTACACATATCAATCGGAATAATAGATATTATTAGCTCTGCCCTGTATTTTCAAATTATCGGCCTCGATGTTCGTGTTAATTGGACGTAATATAGTTAGATAGCATTAAGCACAGAGTCGATCATCTTGAACGACAAACAGATCTGTTCTGTTCATTACCACGAATATTTTTTTTGCTTATTCAGTAACGAGGGAACGAAGTCCGAAAAAAAATGGAAGACGACCAGCAATTCTGCCTTAGATGGAATAATCACCAGAGTACATTAATTCAAAACTTCGACACGCTTCTCGAAAGCGGGACGCTTGTCGACTGCACGCTGGCCGCGGAGGGGAAATACTTGAAAGCGCATAAAGTAGTGCTATCTGCTTGCAGCCCCTACTTCGAGGTGAGTGTATTTTTTAATATTTCGTTATTTTATTAATGTTATTAATATTTTATTATTATTTATTATTTACGTTATTTTTAACAACATAATTAGTAATAATCAATTTAATTAAATCATATTTGATGTATATATTTTATGTTATATATTTTTTTAAATTAAAATTCAAAATTATTTAATACTATCGAATTTTTGCTAAAAGTTTCCATTAATTTTTACATTAAACGTGTATTTAGTTTGTATAATTAGTACATTGATAAATAGTACAGAAGATTGAAGAAAATTCAGATGAAGTTATTTGAAACTTTGATTTTGTTTCTATTAATATAATATTTCTATTATTACTTAAGTTTCGAATTATGATAAATTTTGGAATTCAAACTAAAAGAGAGAAAACCTCAAATTGAAACAAGATGGCTGCTGCTCTTGTTGAATGTTGCCTGGGTGGAAGCCAGAGAGGCAGGGGGACTGAAAGCCCAAACCCCCTCCTGGTTCCTCCTGGTAATCAATACAGAGAAAGCAAGATGGCTGATTTCCAGGGCACTTGCCCTGGGATTTTACCCTGATGTGGGTGGAAGGGGTTTATGAAGCAGCAATACATCATTGATTTAAATTCAAATTAGGAAATTGAATTTTATTGATTAATGTTTCAATTCATTATATTAGTTTGAAATTTTAATTTGATAATATATATATTATTTTTATTTAATTAGATTATTTGTTAACTTTGAAATAATTATATTTAATATTTCAAATTTGATATTTTGACATGAAAATTAATAAATTTTATGATGCAGTTAAATGATTGAAATTGGTAAATAAATATTTGTATAGAAAATATTAGAAAATTTAATTTTTTGTTATAGGGATTGCTGAGTGAGCATTACGACAAACACCCGGTGTTCATTCTAAAAGATGTAAAATTCAAAGAATTAAAAGCAATGATGGACTATATGTACAGAGGGGAAGTAAATATTTCCCAAGACCAACTAGCAGCACTTCTTAAAGCTGCTGAATCATTGCAAATTAAGGGTCTATCAGAAAGTAGAACAAGTGGTAGTAGTAAAACGGACTTTAGGCAACAAAAAGTAGTTCCACAAACAACATCTCAAATGGACATTCCACAATCGTCTTCCGGTCTCACGATAGAAAAGAACAAAGTTCCTAGGCAGGGTATGGCACAAGGTTCCGTAGGGGACCTGCCCGAAGACTCGGCCAGTCCCCAAATACCTAAGGGTCTCTCCTCGAGGTAAGAACATCAAAACATTTAAAAATGATTATATACTTGATTATTTGTATAAAATAAAATTATTGTTCTTCTCAGGGAAGGTTCTCAAAGTCCCACTTCGAGGAAAAGAAAAAAATTTAGACGAAAAAGTATAGGCGATGATAATTCTATAGAAAACCACGAAGCGTCGAATTCAAGCGATATGCCTCAACAAATGAGTGTTCCTGCGCTTGGAATTGCACCTGTGGCAGATGAAAAAGTACACGCAGACCCTACAGATTCCATTGGCAGGTCAGCCTTAATGACGCAGCTGACGAAACCTGCCGATGAAATGCTGCAGGTGAGATTTATGAAATTTGGTAAAAAACATTTTATTGTCCAGTTACATCGTTTACCAACGTCTAATAGAAGCTTGTGTTGTAATGCTCTTGTTTCGTTCGCTACGTTGGTAGAATAACGATATCGTACTTTATCCTGCTGTTTGATGTCATATTAATTTAATCTTATAGAGTGGAAACGGTACGATACACGACTGTAATAATTCATTTAAAAATTTTATCTATTTTATCAATTTTTAAATAAATATTTTTAAATAAAAGAATATTGTTTTTTATAAAATATATATTTTTTCATAGTTGCCCTTGGAGAAACCTGAGCCAAATGATAATCTCATCGAGCCAAAGTCTGAATATCTAGAAGATCAAGAAGAAAGCGTTGAAGATCTGACGCTGGATGACGATATGAACGATCTGAACGAGATGGAACAGGATAACAATAGAGCCGGACCGTCCCACGACCCCTCCCAACATCCTGGTAAGTTGAACGAACTATTTCTTTTATATTTTATTTGATCTTTTGTTATAACGTAGTAGCGAAATACAGGGTATTTTTACAAATTTACTTGATATGTGAATCAATTGAAATTTTGTACATAAGTTGCGAATTCTCAATTGTTATCGGACATACGTAAATCATTACTTGTACACTCGATACGAAATTAAACGAGAAATCATACCGTATTGTGCAGACGATATGCATATATTATATATATATATTACAGTAGTAAAACTTCGATTCAGAGAAACTTTGAATCGAAGCACGATTTTTTAATCCGTGTGATGTAATAAAAGGATAGGAAATTTACATATCTCGCAAAATACGTTTGTTAAATTTAAAGTGTAAAATTATATTAGAAGAAGGGACTCAATCATTGGTGACTTCAAATATAATTACGCGAACGTTTCGTTTTTTGTTTCTTAAATGTTAAAACGGGTCGTGTAATGTTCGGCCGACACTAGTTTGGGTTCCTCGTTGCAGGTGGGGGGGCGGGAGCGCGGTCTCGGTCGAGAGGGAATTTGGTGGGTGGTGATGGCGGTGCCCTCTGGGCGTCCCATTTCCTCGAATGTAAAAAAGGGCCGAACATGAGGCGGCCACGCCCAGATGTTGACGTAGGCGCGTTGCTTAAATCGCTGGAAAAAAAACAGGGCAGAAAGTATAGTTTAGACTCGGTTAAAATGTCCCTGGATGCAATATTACAGCAGGGGGTTAGCACCACTCAGGCATCAGAGATGTATGGCATTAATCGCTCAACCCTGCAATTCTATTTGAAAAAGTTGAACGTCGTCAGAAGGAGATGGAGACAACAACCTAGTAACCTGATCCAGCCTAGGCAGCCTTAGTGTGGTGTATGCTTTTACATGTATAGTTTATGCAATGATATTCAAGACTCGGCAGCGAATAATAACATGGCATCAACCGATTGAGAACAATTTATGCCATTCTCTTCTGCTCTGTTTTCTTCATTTTCATTGTCGCGTGTGATAATTTAAAAAATATACATATATATATATATATATATATTTCTCTCCTGTAAGGATACAATGATACACGATTCATTGATCATTGTATTTCATTTTAGTTTTCTTAGATTTAATTTTACAGAGAGGAAGAGAAAAATGCAAAAAAAAGCGTCTTTCAGATATGTGATAGTTTTTTTGAAATAAAACATATACATGAGAAGCTGATGTATAAATTTTACATCACGCATGTTAAAATGTTCAGTTTTTCAAATACAATTATTTCTTCTTTTAATTAATTGATAAATATTTCTTTATTATGAAATACAAAGCTTAATATTTTATCTCTCGTTTCTTAGTTGACGTATTAAATTATCATTATATAAAAAGTATCGCACACTTAATTTTTTTCATTGTTATATTATGTGTATTAGAATCACAAGTACCTACTTATATATATGAGTTTGTATAATCAATCCTTCTTTCATCATGGTTTCTAAAGAATATTCAAGAGCCGAGTCTCGTTGAGAAGATATTGAGGGTACTGATAATATCTAAGCAGTATAGTGAGATCTCGTTAATTGTTTATTATAAATATATTTTGTAGCTACGTTTCTGTTATTGAAATTAGTTATTAAAGTTTATATTAAAATCATCACTATGAAAGATTAAGGGTATGATAAGAAATGTACAAAATGTCAGACTGTAAAGTAGCTTGGAAACGATCAGTATTACTTTGTCCTAAGTGTTATCGTAGATATTTAATTAAGGAAAAGATATCTAAAATATATCCAGAAATTGGACGTACGTTTTCGTATGTATGTATGCGTGTGCAATGATCACAGATGTAATAAAAATGTAAGATGTTCGATGTTATTTGCTAAACGTTACTTCTCGCGAAAATAGAAAAAAACCGACTTGTTCGGTTCGGGATGTGTTGTGTTACTTAAATACTATACACGATACTGCCGAGTGTACTTATTTTGTAAGAGGGTATGTATGATTTATATCATCGATATCACCCTGTATTTCACTACTTCGAACACTACTTCCAAAATCCAAAGAATTTTCTTTGTTCTTGTTTGAATATAACGAGAAACAATAAAGTATAATCCTTTGTTCCTAGTACAATATTTTGTTGACTTTAATTAAATCGCACAATTTATTGAAATTATATATGGGTTTTACTTATTTTTTTTTTTTTTTTTAATTCTAATTTTAAGTCTTGTTTTATGTGTAGAAAGTGCTCAGTGTGTATCATCTGTATCAGGAAGAAAATTTTTATGAGTATAGTTATTTGTTTTATTAGCAGGTATAGGTGCATGGCACGTTACCGGTGATCGAAGTAATGCGGGAGGAGTCGTGGGCTCGGTGGCAGGAGCTCCGGGAACGACAGACGAAGTCTTTCTTGCAGCCCAGGAGGCCGCCCAGGCCCACCGCGACTCTCAAGGTAGGCTCATCCATATCATTTTTTATTTGCTCCTGCTCGCTGTAACAATAGGTACTCGTATTGACATTTTTTTTCCTTTTTTTTCTTTTTTGTTTTACTTTGTATATACAAAAGACTGGAATATCTAAGTTTGTAATTAATTAAATGAGAAAAAATAAGAAAATACATATTTTGTGCTTAAAAATTCTATAAGTTGTTAAATAATTTGTTTATACATTTTCGAATTTCATTATCTAGAAATGAACCATTCAAAATGATTTGTTAAAACCATTTTTTAAAAATGGAGACAGATTATAAACTAATGTTCAATTACGAGAAAAGCCTATTGCGCAGGTGTGACAGGACTTATATTTTCTTTTCACTGTTGAATAACGTGGTTCAACCTAGCAGCCGGTACATTCAAGAGTAGCACGGTCTCTGAAAGAGCTTTTTCATTTCCTGAACAGGGCATGTAGCTTCTCGTTAATTTCCAAGTTCCTTCTATCTTTTTTTTACCTTTTTTATTTTCATCGCGATATTACGTTACGAGGTTGACACGAGATTTGCCGATGTTTCGATGAAGGTATATCATTTTATCTTTTCACTCTATTTTCCGTTTGTCTTAACGAATTATCGATCGACGGTGCAAGATACCCTGATAATATATCCAAGACTATATAATGTTACTTTCCTTCCTTTCCCTTTTTGTTCTTCTGCGGCTAATCTGTATCGTTGGCCTCGCAACGCGATATTGCATGACCTCTCTCTCCTCTGCAAGGAAAACGTCGACCGTGCGGAGCAGCTCTCCGTCATGACCACCGACCAAAGGAAATACGAAACTCCTCGCTTCTTTCATATTGTGCGTCTAATCAAGGAAAAATTCATTATTTGTATGCATAATTTCATGTACATTGTACATAATATATAATATATTCGGTTCTGTGTCTTAGTTTCACATTAGCAATCGTGGTTATTTATACGACAGAATAAATCCAAAAGTATGGATGGTTAAGAGAGAGTGGGGGGAGGGTTATATGCCGGAAAGAGAGAGGAAAAAGAAACAAGGGCAAGAGATCCGGAAAATACAAATGTCGCGTATCGTGATTCTGGAAATAGAATATATATTTTAGAATAATTATTTCTCGTATTCAGTTTCGTTTTCATTTTTCTACATAAAATCGTATTCGATTACGTTTCACAGTGTGTAACAATTTAGATATCAGCGAATTGTGTAGAACTCGATGTGGATATAGGATCGGTCTCTCCAAAGTATCTCTCTTAGATATTTTTTTCTTTATGGTGAATAATAAAAAAAAAATATTTCTAATATTAAAATTCTGTAATATATTTCTGCTGATATATTATTTATTAGAATTATTCTTGTTTAAAGTGATATTTTACATATACATATACATCATATCGTTGATTAAATTTTTAGTGGTTATATTATATAATTTTATAAATCATTTTCATTAAGTCTTTGCTTTCGACACGTTAGACGTCATCCAAACTTCAATATTAGGTACTAGGAGACGTGTTCTTCATGAGGATCCACCACAAAGGCTTTCCATGAACTGGAAGCAGCATCGTCTTCAAAAAATTCAAAGTTCAGGAACCAAAAAGTTTCCCCAGAGATCATGCAGGGTCTGTAAAGTACACGGAAAACGTAAGGATACATGTTATATGTGTGAATACTGTCGAATACCCCTTTGCAGAATCAAATGTTTTGAATGTTATCACACGAAAGAGCAATACTAAATTTTTGTTGCACGATTTTTATATTATTTTTATTTTATCGAATTACAATTAAAAATTCTCTTGTAAAAACTCTATGGACGATTATAATTTGAAGTTTAGGTATATTATGATTTTTATAGGTACAGGAAAATATTTTATTTAGTTGATGAGTATATGAAAAATATGAGTATAGAATAATAATATTCTATATAAGCTGGTGAAATTATGTATTTAAAATAAAGTTATATTAAGTGCAAAAGGACTTAAGAGGCCACAAATTTTGTTACAAATTAATTTATCCAATCAAAGAAATGAAGAATATTACGTGTAATTTCTAATTAGGTTCGTATAATTTCTGGATAAGAGATGAATAAATAAGTAAAAAAAGTAATGAAAATGATTGAATAAGGATTAATCTGTATAATGTGAAAATTATTATCAAAACTCTGCATTTCATAAGAATATAGAATATACATAATAGAAAATAGAAAATAAATTGTAGAAAAAATATATTTGACCAGATTTTATTTAACTGTAAGAGGAATATAATCTGAAATAAGTTTTTTTTGTAGGTGGCAGTGCGCAGAAGATATGAAGGTCAACTTCGTTTTTTAAATGGTATGATATGGTTTTTATTTATTTTCTGATAGAACATTTTAAAACGAATACAATCACCTATAGTTGAAGGTCATTCAAGATCGTCAAAGATCAATTACAGTGGAAAGTAAATTATTTCCTAAGTTATATATTTATTGTCAATAAAATATGTTTAAAAAATGATGAGCTTGAGCATCAATGCATGCTTCAGATATTGTAATAATGAATAACATATATATTTAATTTTTAATTTTTACTTAAATTTTTTTTCATAAATAATTATAGATGTTAAAATATATAAAAACATATATTTCTTTATTTTTATTTTTTAACCGATTAATCCAATAAAATTCGAAGTTTCTGCTGCACGAAATATATATTCATCAAAATATTTTTTAATAATTGTAGCAGAATTTCTATTACAATTTTTCATTTATATTTCCAATTATAAAATATATCATTACGATGAATGAAATAGCAATAGCAATAAAAAGAACAGAATATCAATAATCACGAGTGAATTTTGAAATAATTTATTTTTCATTAATTTTGAATTCGATCTTCAATTACAAATCATTGTATTCGTTTCAAAACTCAATATCAGAAAATAATAAGATCATTTTCTTGAAAAAAAAAATGAATTTTACCTTCATATTTTTTCTGCATTTTTAAAAAAAATATTAATATCTGTCTCAAAACTAAGCAAGCTTGATTTGATATATTTAAATTATTTGTGGCCTGTTTTAAATGTTTCACTTCATTACATACATATTAGGTTCTTACGAAGATACTAGTTTGCCTTGAGCTCGATGAAATTTTTGTATATAATCGCGATATTGAGCATTCTCAATTAATAACGCGTTGAACAATTTATCAATGTTATTAAATATTATCAATGTTCATTGAATTATAATTAATTGCTGCAAATCGTGTATATTACGAGAGATAAAAAGATGTTTGCTATAATCATTTTTAAATGTAATATTTTTATAAATCCTTATATAAATAGTATATTACTTTTCGAATACATAATTCGTTATACATAAATGGAAAAGAGAAAGGAAGAAGAGAAAAAAGAAAAAAAGAAAGAAAAACAGAAAAAGAAAATAGAGATATGTGCAGCTGTTGTTTTCTCGAGTTGGTGCATCTGCTCTAGCAGCTGTCGTTGGCAGATGCAACGCGAAGCTATTTGGTGTAGATGCGACACGGATGCATATGGCATTATGAAATGAGAAAATTAATGTATAGCATATCTTCATAATAATAGGAAAATATTTGTCGTTTTTTGTTCCAATTTTTTTTCGCAGATATAAATTATTGTTTCAGGAAAATTATTAATAGTGGTACAAAATGAAAAGGATGAGATACTTTTGGAGAGACCAGTTAGAATTTAGGTTAGCGGTAACGAGTTCTGACAAACAGAGTTAAGATAAAATAAAAAGGGTATTTTCACGCGAGCGCGATATTCTTCTCGTTACTTTTTTCCGTTATCGAAGGAGAGTTATATTAGGATAAATGGTCGCCAAAATAGGTGATCCAACGTGGGAAACAAGGTAACTTCGGAGAGAGAGGAGCGATCTCTCTGTCAATGCTAGTTCTTGATTTCGAGAAAATGTTGTATTCGTTTTTATTTAGTTTGAAAATTATCGTTTTTACAATTCGATTTTTATATTTGTTTCGAATGGAAGACGATTTACGAATATGTCACATTTTCCATATGTTTTAAGATCGAAGTTTTGATATGAGGGCTCGCATTGATGGGGAAGGTTGTTGTTTTTGTCGTCAGAGACTTGTTACCTTGAATCGATTGTTCATGCCGGAATTAAAAAATGTTAAAAAAATTTTTTTAGTTGAACGCAAGTTTCACATTTTGTATCGTCTTAACACGTTCCGTGTTGAATAATGTTCAATGATTTCTGTTTGCGCCGTTTAATATTTTTCTTAAATGGAAATTTATAAATATTCTCGAGATTTTGCGTAGGATTTTTCAATAAAAGTTCCAATAGAAAATTCCAAGCAATTGCTTAGCGCACGGGTCTTTGGTCATCCATTTTGGCTTATCATTCTGGAAATGCATGCCATAAATATAAAATATTTTCTTTTATAGATAGAACAAAAAAAATTTCATCGCTTCAAAGAATATAAACCTTTTATACAGAAAATTATTTATTCTTTTGAAATATATTTTGCACAGTACTTTTATATATAAATAGTACTTTTATCGATTATTTTGAGTCGATACAAGTTTAAAAATAGTAATTCGATATGTTATAGATTACAAAGTGGAAATAAATTCCGAATTAGGTCTGGTCATGAAGGAGCGAGGAGAATAGAGAATAGGTTAGAAAAGGAGAGTATATTTAAATTAGAGAGCCAGGAAGTATGAAGCGAAAGTGATCATAAGATAAATGAGTGAAATGATTTAGTTTTCATGAGAGATATGTATAGACGGCGCAAATGGATATTATGATATAAATTTTACGTAGCACGGAACGTGTTTTCTGCACCGTCATTGCATTCGATTCTATCCTAACCAAATAGCACGCAATTATAGTTAATTTGATTGAGATATTCAATTTAACGATCTGTCACATAACGCGTACTTTTGTCCATTTTGGTGTTCCATATTTTTGATATATTATTGAGGTAGTACCACGTTTGACCATTTTAAGCTCAGTGGTATTTCA